CTAATCGTAATATTTGTGCTCTTAACCTATTTGATTTTCGTAGGGAATGCCAAGGCTCCACCGGTGAAAACTTTCATAATACTTCACGTACAATAGCTTTTATTTTTTAAAATGATAATATACTAGATTGCAACATGCTTTCTTTGGGGGCCATGACACTGTGGGTGCAATCTATTCTGTTAATACACAAGTTGACATTACAAGTCGCAACCTATTTCCTTTAAAACCGTGATATTCTGCGGCGTAACCGTTTCTAGTTTAAATAATCATAATACTTTGTGCTCTTAACTTATTTTATTGTCCTACGAAACGCCAAGTCTCCATCGACTAAAACTTTCATAATACTTTAGGCGCAATCACTTTTATTTTTTAAAATGATAATATTCCAGATTGCAATGCGCTTTCTTTGGGGGGCATGACACTTTGGGAGCAATCTATCTATTAATACACAAGTTGACATTACAAGTCGCAACCTATTTCCTTTAGAACCGTTATGTTCTGAAGTGTAACAATTTCTTGCCTAATCGTAATACTTTGTGCCCTTAACCTATTTGATTGTCGTGGGGAACACCAAGGCTCCATCGGCTAAAACTTTCATAATACTTTAATTGCAATCGCTTTTATTTTTTAAAATGATAATATTCCATATTGCAACATGCTTTCTTTAAAGTCCATGACACTCTGGGAGCAATTAATTATAATAATACACAAGTTGACATTACAAGTCACAACCTACTTCCTTAGATCCCTGATATTCTGGAGCACAATCGCTTCTATTTTGTCTAATCGTAATACTTTTATCTCTTAAACTATTTGATTGTCGTACGAAACACCAGGCTCTGACTGCTAAAACTTTCATAATACTTTACATACAATAGCTTTTATTTTTTAAAATGATAATATTCCATATTGTAACGTGGTTTCTTTGGGGGCCATGACACTCTGGACGCAATCTATTCTATTAATACATAAGTTGACATTACAAGTCGCAACCTATTTCCTTTAGAACCGTGATATTCTGGGGTGCAACCGTTTCTGTTTTACCTAATCGTAATACTTTGTGTTCTTAACCTATTTGATTGTCGTGGGGAACACCAAGGCTCCATCGGCTATAACTTTCATAATACTTTTAGTGCAATCACTTTTATTTTTAAAATGATAATATTCCATATTGCAATGCGATTTCTTTGGGGCCATGACACTCTGGGCACAATCTATCTATTAATACACAAGTTGACAGTTCAATTCGCAACTTATTTCCTTTAGAACCATGATATTTTGGGGTGCAACCGTTTCTATTTTTCCTAATCGTAATAATTTGTGCTCTTAACCTATTTGATTGTCATGGGGAATGCCAAGGCTCCATCGGCTAAAACTTTCATAATACTTTAATTGCAATTGCTTTTATTTTTTAAAATTATAATATTTCATATTGCAACGAGCTTTCCTGAGAGGCCATGACACTCTTGGAGCAACCTATTCTAATAATACATAGGTTGACATTACAAATCACAACCTATTTTTTTAGGATCGTGATATTATGGGGCATAACCGTTTCTATTTTGCCTAATCATAATACTTTGTGCTCTTAACCTATTTGTTTGTTGTGTGGAATGCCAAGGGTCCATCAACGAAAACTTTCATAATACTTTACACGTAATTGCTTTTATTTTTTAAAATGATAATATTCTAGATTGCAACGTGTTTCTTTGTGGGCCATGACACTTTGGGCTCAATCTATTCTGTTAATACACAAGTTGACATTACAAGTCGTAACCTATTTTCTTTAGAACCGTGATATTCTGGGGCGCAACCATTTCTGTTTTACCTAATCGTAATACTTTGTGTTCTTAACCTATTTGATTGTCGTGGGGAACGCCAAGGCTCCATCAGATAAAACTTTCATAATACTTTAGATGCAATCACTTTTATTTTTTAAAATGATAATATTCCATATTGCAATGCACTTTCTTTGGGGGCCATGATACTCTGAGCGCAATCTATCAATTAATACACAAGTTGACATTACGAGTTGCAACCTATTTCCTTTAGAACCGTGATATTCTAGGGCACAATAGTTTCTATTTTGCCTATCGTAATATTTTGTGCTATTAACCTATTTGATTTTTGTGGGGAACGCCAAGGCTTCATCGACTACAACTTTCATAATTCTTTAATTGCAATTGCTTTTATTTTTAAAAATGATAATATTACATATTGCAACGTGCTTACCTTAGGGCCATGACACTCTGGGAGCAATCTATTCTAATAATACACAAGTTGACATTACAAGTCACAACCTATTCCCTTTAGAACTGTGATATTTTGGGGCGTAACCGTTTCTATTTTTCCTAATCGTAATACTTTGTGCTCTTAACCTATTTGTTTGTTGTGCAGAACGCCAAGGCTCCATCAACTAAAACTTTCATAATACTTTACATTCAATTGCTTTTATTTTTTAAAATGATAATATTCTAGATTGCAACGTGCTTTCTTTGGGGGGCAATGACACTCTGGGCGCAATCTATTCTATTAATACACAAGTTGGCATTACAAGTCGCAACATATTTCCTTTAGAACCGTGATATTTTGGGGCGTAACCGTTTCTATTTTGCCTAATCGTAATACTTTGTGCTCTTAACCTATTTGTTTGTCGTGCAGAACGCCAAGGCTCCATCGACTAAAACTTGCATAATACTTTACGTTCAATCGCTTTTATTTTTTAAAATGATAATATTTCATATTGCAACGTGCTTTCTTTGGGGGGACATGAAATTGGGTGCAATCTGTTCTATTAGTACACAAGTTGACATTACAAGTCGCAACCATGATATTATGGGGCGCAATCGTTTCTGTTTTGCCTAATCGTAATACTTTGTGTTCTTAACCTATTTAATTGCCATGTGGAACGCCAAGGCTCCATCGACTAAAACTTTCAAAAACACTTTAGGCACAATCGCTTTTATTTTTTAAAATGTTAATAGTCCATATTACAACTTGCTTTCTTTGGGGCCATGACACTTTGGGTGCAATCTATCTATTAATACACAAGTTGACATTACAAGTCGCAACCTATTTCCTTGAGAACCATGATATTCTAGGAAGCAACCGTTTCTATTTTGCCTAATCATAATATTTTGTGCTCTTAATCTATTTGATTGTCGTGTGGAACGTCAAGGTTCCTTCAGCTAAAACTTTCATAAAACTTTCATAAAATGGCTATGAAGGGAATTGTACCTAAATTATAATGAACATCTAGGAGTACTAAGCCATTCAAGCAGATCATACATTTGGTTTGGTTCATTGTTAGATAAATATGATATATAATTTTAACCTATTTCCTTGAGAACCATAATATTCTGGGGTGCAACCATTTCTATTTTGCTTAATCGTAATACTTTGTGCTCTTAATCTATTTGATTGTAGTGGGGAACGCCAAGGCTCCTTGAGCTAAAACACTCATAATACTTTAGGCGCAATCGCTTTTATTTTTTAAAATGTTAATATTTCAGATTGCAACATGTTTTCTTTGGGGTCATGATACTCTGGGCGCAATCTATTCTGTTAATACACAAGTTGACATTAAAAGTCGCAACCTATTTCCTTTAGAACCGTGATATTCTGGTGCATAAATGTTTCTATTTTACCTAATCGTAATACTTTTCAACTCAATGAGACGTCTATTCAACTCAATTTGCTTTATTCACAATATCATAATTTAACTTTGATTTTTATTCTTTGAGTGTCGATCTAGATCGTAACGTTACGAAGTATCTGAAAGGAAAATAATAGAAAGATGAAATATAAAGCTCAATGAGATCAAAGGGTGGAGAGAGAGAATAATTAGAATATCAAACATGCACACATGGAAAATTCAAAACACATGTAATCATAATGTTTACAAAAATATAAATGTGAACTAATAAGTCACTAACTATTCAACCATCCGCTAATCGCCATAAGACGAATCTCACAAAATTCATAGCCAACTGGACGCGGAAAACGATAAAAAAAGAATTACATAAACAAGAGTGGTGACTTTAAAGCGTGGATGTTACCATCCAGTACATAAAAGAATTCCGTTTAAGCCTAGATTTTCAAAATTAAAGAACTCCAAAGTTCAATTAATATTTGGGTAAATATTGACTTGGGAAGATATTCATGTGTTTGAAGTTTTAATAATCTTGTTAAAGTTGCTAAAGCGTATAAAGTGGTTGTGCAAAGGTTGAATGGTTACAAAGTGTGCTTTAGGTGGAGAATGGTTCTGTGTAAGTAGCGTTGGTATTCATGGCATAATTTGTGCTAGCACTTATATAGGGTAGGGGTGTATTTGGTTCGGTTCGGTTCGTTTTTTTAATCAAAAATTGAACCGAACTGAAATAAACGATTTTTTTAAAATTTAAACTGAAACCGAATGGTTAAAAAATCAAAAAAATCGAAACTGATTTTTTCAGTTCGGTTTTTTTAACGGTTCGGGTTTTTCGGTTTGGTTCGGTTTATCGGTTTTTCAATGAAAAAATCACTTGAAACTATAATTTTTTTTAAAAAAAAATTGCATATTCGGTTCAATATGGAACAAATGGGTTCCATATGAAAAACCCGAAACGAACCGAATCAAAAGAATTGAGACTTTAAACCGAACCGAAAACCAAACCGTATAATACCAAACAGAACCGAATCGAACCGAACCTTTTTACTCGGTTCGTGTCGGTTTTTCGATTTTCTCGGTTTCGTTGCTCAACCCTAATATAGGGTATTTTTCGAAATATTCACGTGCACTCTTTTTCCTCTATTTAGGTTTAGAGAGGTTTTTTAACGAGACCCACGTTTCTGAGTTGTTTTGTATAGTTTTCGTTAGTGATGCTCATCGCTGCTCGTCGAGCACGGTAGAATCCATAAATAACCCCGGATCATTGCTATAGGTTTACAATTAACACAGGTAATCTCAAATAAATAAACATTGGATTCCAATTTCAAAAAAGGTAATGACACCAATAATATCAAAGTAAAACAACGTTTTATTAAAGATAAACCTCGATGACAGATTTTGTTGATGGAATCAAATTGAGTTCCCATGTGGCTGACTGTTTATCCAGTTTTATTTAGACGGAGAGCTATAACTTTATTATCAAGGATAAACCTCAATAAGGGATCTCAAACCTATAATAGGAATGATTTTGTAACCACTAAAACCAGCAGCAGAAAACAGCGTAGCCCATTCTTCCTCGTGTCTCTCTTTTCCGGTCATCAGCACCATCATCAGCATATCAATGAAGAGCTGCGTTTCCAGCAAATCCAACCCTTGTTCATTCACTTTCTTATTCTTCATTACTACCATGTCTATTATCATCACTTTCCCTCCACTGCTAATTGCCTCTTTACATCGCCTCAGAATCTTCACACATTCATCATCACTCCAATCGTGCAATATCCACTGTTTAATCAACTCAAAAGAATGAACGAATCATTCACTTACCCAAAAAATGCATAAGTAAAGATAAAAGAATTAGTAAAAACCTTTAGTAAAACTGCATCTGCAGACGGAACATGCTCGAATATGTCGCCTCCAACATATTTAACATTCCCACTATCTTGTAGGCCAGCAACAACATGAGGAAGATCAAACACAGTGCATTTCAAATGTGGAAATGCATCAGCAATGGTCTTTCCCAGTGTTCCCGTGCCCCCTGCAACGTCCACCAAGGAATTCAATCCCTCGAATGCCTCCTTATACTTGTCGATCAAAATTCGAGCGACGAGTCGAGCATCGCTGGCCATGCCTTGATTGAAAGAGTTGTTTACATGTGGATCGTGGCTACAATAGTCCCACAACATCTCCCCATGTGCAGTAACAAATGGGGTCCGATCATCAGTTTGGAACCAGGTCCCTAGGAAATGCCAAGGCTGCATCAAAATTGGATCCAGCATGGATTTCAAAAGTGGGGTAGCGCTCAAGGTATTGTCCTTGAGCAGGAGCCGAGAAGCGCTGGTAAGAACATAACCGTCTTCGTCGGATCCATCGCCATCCCCGAGCTTTTGTTTTGCAAAGAAGCCCGAGTGGACTAAAATACGCATGAGCCGGTAGACGTTGCATGCCTTGGTAGGGTGGAGCGTCGGTAGTGCCGCAACCAACTCGGTGATGGCCATCGGCTTGCCGTGGTTTTGAATGATATCAGGGATGCCTAAATCAATTGCACACTGCAGAGACATGGAATTTATGAAGCTGAAAATGTGGTTCCAGACGTGTGCTTGGGCTTGAAGAAGCTCATTAACATTCTCTCCGTTAACATTGACCTCACCCATCTTTGCTAAGATATTTTGGTTTTGCTATGGAACAAGTATGGCAATGAATATGTTATTTATAGGCCACAAAATAGATACTAGGAGAGGGAGGCCCACCATATATACAAGAATTGCCGTCTTAAAATATTTTTTTAAACATGAACAACGTGCATAACAAATATTAGTTAATGCCGCCACATGTTTCAACGACATAAATTACATAAATATTGTTACAGTAATTAAGACGGAATGACAATTGTGGAGTGGGGCACTATATCTTTTTACATATATATATTTAAATGTTAAGTTAAAAATAAAATATATTTTTAGTGAAGATATAAACAAAATATATTTTTAAATTAAAATATATTATTTAAAATAAGAATAAAATATATCTTTAATTTAAAATAAGAATAAAATATATTTTTAAGTGAATATAAGGACAAAATATATATTATTATATTGAAATAAGAATAAACTATATAAATATATTTTAAGTTAAAATAATTAGAAAATATATTTTTAAAATTAAGATAAAAATAAAATATTTTTTAAATGAAGATAAAGTTAAAATATACTTGTAAGTGAAGATAAGATTAAAACATATATTTTTATATTAAAATAAAAAAATACATTTAATAAGTTAAGACAAAAATAAAATTTATTTTTAAAAATTAAGAATATAAAATATTATGAATTTAAGTAAAGTGTTTATATACTAAGATACATTATATATATGATTTATTGTCTAAATTATGTGAAATGGTTGCCTTGACTTAATGGTTTGGTGCTTATATATCACCCAAAGGGTTCTTTGTTTGATTCCCCTTGCCCTCATGTGCATTGATTTATTTATTTTCAACCATAGTGTCACTAATGACATATGACACCACACGATTCGAGAGTTAAATTTAATTTAGTTTATTAAAATTAAGACCAAATTGAAACAATATATAAGTAATAATGACTAATTGTATAATTATAACAAAATATTTTAATTGTCATGTCACCTGAAATATTTAAATAATTAAACAATCTGATTGATTAAATCAAAATATCGATGATGGTTTGATTGATTAATTTAGTCACATGTTTTAATGACATAAATTACATAATCATTGTTACAGTATTTAAGATGGAATGAAAATTGTGGATTGGGGTCCATGTATCTTTTCATACAATATTATTTTCCTTTTTTTTTTTTTTGGATTTATTGTAGGAGTCAAGTGAAGATAAGATTAAAACATATATTTTTATATTAAAATAAAAAAATACATTTAATAAGTTAAGACAAAAATAAAATTTATTTAAAAATTAAGAATATAAAATATTATGAATTTAAGTAAAGTGTTTATATACTAAGATACATTATATATATGATTTATTGTCTAAATTATGTGAAATGGTTGCCTTGACTTAATGGTTTGGTGATATATATCACCCAAAGGGTTCTTTGTTTGATTCCCCTTGCCCTCATGTGCATTGATTTATTTATTTTCAACCATAGTGTCACTAATGACATATGACACCACACGATTCGAGAGTTAAATTTAATTTAGTTTATTAAAATTAAGATCAAATTGAAACAATATATAAATAATAATGACTAATTGTATAATTATAACAAAATATTTTAATTGTCATGTCACCTGAAATATTTAAATAATTAAACAATCTGATTGATTAAATCAAAATATCGATGATGGTTTGATTGATTAATTTAGTCACATGTTTTAATGACATAAATTACATAATCATTGTTACAGTATTTAAGATGGAATGAAAATTGTGGATTGGGGTCCATGTATCTTTTTCATACAATATTATTTTCCTTTTTTTTCTTTTTTTTTTTTGGATTTATTGTAGGAGTCAAGTGAAGATAAGATTAAAACATATATTTTTATATTAAAATAAAAAATACATTTAATAAGTTAAGACAAAATAAAATTATTTAAAAATTAAGAATATAAAATATTATGAATTTAAGTAAAGTGTTTATATACTAAGATACATTATATATTATTTATTGTCTAAATTATGTGAAATGGTTGCCTTGACTTAATGATTTGGTGCTTATATATCACCCAAAGGGTTCTTTGTTTGATTCCCCTTGCCCTCATGTGCATTGATTTATTTATTTTTCAACCATAGTGTCACTAATGACATATGACATCACATGATTCGAGAGTTAAATTTAATTTAGTTTATTAAAATTAAGACCAAATTGAAACAATATATAAATAATAATGACTAATTGTATAATTATAACAAAATATTTTAATTGTCATGTCACCTGAAATATTTAAATAATTAAACAATCTGATTGATTAAATCAAAATATCGATGATGGTTTGATTGATTAATTTAGTCACATGTTTTAATGACATAAATTACATAATCATTGTTACAGTATTTAAGATGGAATGAAAATTGTGGATTGGGGTCCATGTATCTTTTTCATACAATATTATTTTCCTTTTTTTTCTTTTTTTTTTGGATTTATTGTAGGAGTCAAGTGAAGATAAGATTAAAACATATATTTTTATATTAAAATAAAAAAATACATTTAATAAGTTAAGACAAAAATAAAATTTATTTAAAAATTAATAATATAAAATATTATGAATTTAAGTAAAGTGTTTATATACTAAGATACATTATATATATGATTTATTGTCTAAATTATGTGAAATGGTTGCCTTGACTTAATGATTTGGTGCTTATATATCACCCAAAGGGTTCTTTGTTTGATTCCCCTTGCCCTCATGTGCATTGATTTATTTATTTTTCAACCATAGTGTCACTAATGACATATGACATCACATGATTCGAGAGTTAAATTTAATTTAGTTTATTAAAATTAAGACCAAATTGAAACAATATATAAGTAATAATGACTAATTGTATAATTATAACAAAATATTTTAATTGTCATATCACCTGAAATATTTAAATAATTAAACGATCTGATTGATTAAATCAAAATATCGATGATGGTTTGATTGAATAATTTAGTCACATGTTTCAATGACATAAATTACATAATCATTGTTATAGTATTTAAGATGGAATGAAAATTGTGGACTGGGGTCCATGTATCCTTTTCATACAATATAATTTCCTTTATTTTTTTTTATTTTTGGATTTACTGTAGGAGTCAAGTGAAGATAAGATTAAAACATATATTTTTATATTAAAATAAAAAATACATTTAATAAATTAAGACAAAAATAAAATTTATTTTTAAAAATTAAGAATATAAAATATTATGAATTTAAGTAAAGTGTTTATATACTAAGATACATTATATATATTATTTATTGTCTAAATTATGTGAAATGGTTGCATTGACTTAATGGTTTGGTGCTTATATGTCACCCAAAGGGTTCTTTGTTTGATTCCCCTTACCCTCGTGTGCATTGATTTATTTATTTTTCAACCATAGTATCACTAATAACATATGACACCACATGATTCGAGAGTTAAATTTAATTTAGTTTATTAAAATTAAGATCAAATTAAAACAATATATAAGTAATAATGACTAATTGTACAATTATAACAAAATATTTTAATTATCATGTCACCTGAAATATTTAAATAATTAAACGATTTGATTGATTAAATCAAAATATCGATGATGATTTGATTGATTAATTTAGTCACATGTTTCAATGACATAAATTACATAATCATTGTTACAGTATTTAAGATGGAATGAAAATTGTGGACTGGGGTCCATGTATCTTTTTCATACAATATTATTTTCCTTTATTTTTCTTTTTATTTTTGGATTTACTGTAGGAGTCGTTGAGTGATAGTTATATTTCGGTTTGTTTGTTTCAAGTAAAATATTTTCCGAAAAATGTTTTCCTCATTTTTCAGTGTTTGGTTAGAAAAAAACTGGTTGGTCAACGTAAAACATTTTCCTGATCAACAGAATTTACTTTGTGATTTCTGGAAAATGACTTACGGTATGATTTTCCGTAAGTCATTTTCCAAACTTTTTACTTCAAAGAATAAATACTCAAAATAATTTTATTTTATGAATTTAATATTAATAAAATATTTTAATATCATTTTAATCAAAATATTAATTATTAAAATATTTATATATATATATTAATATTTCTAATATATAATATTATATTTTTAATATTATAATAAAGTAATCAATTATATTATAATAATATAAGATATTATATTTTTATTTTAATAATGTATAATAAATTATTAATAAAATTTATATTATTTATTAATTTCATAGAAATAATATTAGTAAATTATTAATAATGAATACTATTATTTATATATTTAATATTAATATAATAATCTAATAATATTTTTAATAAAATATTTAAAATTTAATAATTAATATTTTAAATATAATATAACATTATTACTTTAATAAATAATTAATATAATTTATAATATTTTAATTTCAATGAAATATGACAATATTAATATTTAATTAATAAAATTATAAAAATAGTATTATAATAATAAATAAATTATTTTAATATTTTAAAAATAATAATATTAAGTTTTATGAGAAATAATATTATTTATTGTATTTAATATTTTTAATAAATAATTTTTATAATTTTCATTAACTAGTGGAAAATTGGTTTAAACAACATATTCCAAATATCGTAAAACGTTTTTCAGAAAATATAATTCATTTTACATAAAATATTTTTCGAAAAATATTTTCAGTGAAAAAACGGACCCTTATTCTCAGGATGAAATTATGTATAGTTTCAGGGGCACTGTCCCCGCCCTATAATTTTTTTTATCAAAATATATAGGGATAAATACATATTTAGATCTTCATGTTTTGATTTATTTTGATTTTACTCCCAATTTTATTGCTAATTATATTTTGTCCCTAGAGTTATGACTCCGCCCCTGTTTGTAGTAAAGCACAATACTTTATTTTCTAGTGCATCGATTTAGGTTTCATTCTTTCTTTAATATGTTTTATGTTTTTTTATGGAACAAGATGGTTACTTCAGTTATACGCTATTCATCTCTTTTAATTTTGGTGAGTG